CATAGAGTTTACAGAAAATGGGCCAAAAAAGAAAAAAACATCCAGTGAGCGGCGGTTCTCTGGGTGAAAATCCCATGTCGGTTCTTGACAAACTTTAGTGCTGAAAAGGACGTTTTATTGCTACAAGAGGTGACTGACAGAGTGATAATAGGCTGGTAGAGTGATAATAGGCTGGTAGAGTGATGTTAGGCTGGCAGAGTGATAACAGGCTGGTAGAGTGATAATAGGCTGGTAGAGTGATAATAGGCTGACAGAGTGATAATAGGCTGGCAGAGTGATAATAGGCTGGTAGAGTGATGTTAGGCTGGCAGAGTGAGCCTAAGTCAGGGTCGTCGGTCGTTTTCCACAAGAAATTTATAAAAGCCCAATAAGAAATATGGAGGACCTTGTTCCCATTCCTATTTATGTGTGAACAGTTTGTACTCTGTCCCTGCTTGGGTGGTGGACACACCCCCTTGTAATACCCACACATCTGAAGGGGATGGGGGATTTTCTTCTGTCTGGGGTTTGTGTGGCAGTCTGTCCACTTCAGAAGCTGCAAAGTGTCATGACCGAACATGTCTGTAATGCCCTGTATGCTGAAGTTAATTACTAAAAACTCTTAGTTCATATTTGGGAGTAACCTTGGTTTGATTCTGCCTGATTTCATCTTGCTTCAATAATACCTTTCTATTCCTCTTCATGTCCCACTGAACATTGATCTATCAGGCTATAGTGTCTGTTTCCTTCTGTATTTCCTCAAACACCTCCTCAGTCTGCAGCTGAGGTAGCTCCAAACTGCAGTCACACACCAGTCCTACAGCTGTGCCGATGTCCATATCTTCTCACCCAAAACTCAATCAGTGGCCTTGCTTAGGGCTAATGCTGTACCCAAGGAGTCACAATTAAACTATTCCTTGTCTTGATTTGATACACGGTCACCACTACAGGAGCGATGGACAGAGAAACATTGCAGTTACTAATCCTGGAAGACCATCTTGTCACACTAAGAACATGCAGTGTTTTGTATTTCCCTGTCCCTGACTCTCTCAGTATTTGTTGAACCTCAACAAAAAGACTGTGTCGCTTCTCAGAGCCTCTCATGAAGGTCGAAACACCAAAGGAATTACATGAAGCTGAAGCTAATGTCCACAACAACAAGAGTCGGTCTCTGGGCAAAGCAAAGCACTAAACAGGCCTCCTCATTGTTCTCGTCCTGGGTATGATGTTAATCTACATCCAGCCCTATAAGGAGGTCCATTACAGAGATAATTTGGGGGTTGGTGGCAGGATTGGCACTCCAGCCACCGGAAAAAACCTCACACTGGTCCATTCGGACTAGTGTAGTGCTGAGGTATCACCCGCCACATGGCTGCACTCAGGTTCTCATCCCTGAGGTGGTTTGTCATGTGGTGGGTGAGGTAACGCTCTGTAATCAGTGCATGCTCCTTACCTCTCATTGTTCTCCTGTATGACAGCTTGCACTCCTCTGTAAATGGCTGACAGAGCAGCACAGCCAGTGTGGCCCTGCCCAGAGCATGTGAGCGGAG